CAGGGCTTGATCCCAGGACCCCGGGATCATGACCCAAGCCAAAGGCAGACACTCAACGACTGAGCCACCCAGGTGCCCCCAGGCTTACATATTTTAAACATGAACTGAGATCCAGAGTTTTGACTCTCTGTAATTAGAGAAAATTAAAAGTCTATAAAAGATATAATTGGGCTAAGAATGGTGGTCCCCTTTCAAACTTAATGATCCACTTAATTTTGTGGATGACTTACTGGTTCAAGGCACTGTGCCTGGTACTAAGCAATAAGAGATAAGAAAATAAATGAGATATGCTCTGGTCCTCCGGGAATTCAGAAGCTGGTGTATGTATCTGAGAGCAGGTGAGAAAGTGGTCCAGGTATTATACAGAATTAAGCCCAACTGCCAACATAACAGAAGTATAAACAAAGCACTTAAGAAGGGCAGAGAACAGAAGTCAGGGATCTCGGAAAAAAGCAACCCAGAAGAGGGACTATTTGAAATAGGCTTTGAAGGACAAGCAGCATTTCAGCCAGCTGAGAAATACCCGGAAGAAATATAGCACAGGGACAACAAAAGCAAATGGAACTATGGAAAAAAAAAAACAAAAAACAATGACATAGTAGGGGATTTTTGAGTAAGAGTGTATTTATGTTGTAAGAACTTACAAAAAAAAAAAGTTCAAATAGGTTTACTGGACTTCAATTGCTATTCATTCTATGCTTGATCAACATTCTCAGTATCTCATCCTACATGCAAATTTTCAAAGATGCTAGAAAAGAATAAAATAGGATGACAACAAAAATGGTCAAAATGGTCAGTTTGCTAGATCATCATCAGTTAACAATGAGACTGTCAAGTGACCCTCCTAGAAAGGAACCAGTTTTTTTTTTGTTTGTTTTTTTTATTCTTATGTTAATCCCCATACATTACATCAAAAAGGAACCAGTTTAAACGGATGCCTAGCCCAAATCAACGCCTTGATTGCCGCATGATATGCCTACTACAAATCAGAAGCATTTGCTTTTAGTGTTGGAAAACAGCTCTTACGTTAAAGGAACAAGAGAACAATAGCCAGCAAAGCGTTCAACATAATGTGAAAATCAAAAACCAGCCAGCTAAATGGTGCCTGGTTCTAGGCACTACAGAATATCAGAAACCACAGGGAATGTGCTAAATGTTAAAATGCTTAATATCTTCCTCTTAAGAATACTTTTCACAAGTAACACCTATCACCGTAATTTGTACGAAGAGAATGCTCAATAAATACTTGTCGAATCAAAAATAAATCTAACCCAGGCTATAAAATACATAATGTTTTGCCACCCACTATTACAATGTTAATCATGTTACCTGGCATTGAATTATTATAATAAATGAATCATATGTATACATTGCTCAGTATTTTTTCACAGAATAACCAAAGAGGTACTGTGGTATAAAGGAAAGAATCAGGGATTTGAAGCCAAAAGGCCAAGGTGTAAGTGTGAAAAACCATTGCTAATACTGTGGCTTCGAATCACATTAAGCCTTTTAGGCACAGTACCTGACCTCTATTAGCTTCCCACGTCCCCACCTGTACAATGAATTTGACAGCAAGAACTATACACACTCTTACAGCAGCAGCTGAATGAGACTGTCTGTCAAAGGACTCCATAGACCAAAAAGTGCTACAGAAAAGATGACTACATGGACTGATTTCTGGTTGACTTCCTACCCATGAGACATCTTCCTCTTTCCCTTCTTCCACACAGTCGGATCTTTCAGCACATCGTGTACGTCCCCAAGGCATGCTGTCAATCTCCCCCAAGTCCCCCACCATCACTCTAGTCCGAAGAACCAGCAGCTCCCATCCAGATTTCCATTTCCCTGCTTCCATGCTTGCTCTCTCAACATCCTCCATCACGTAAGAGCCAAGATGATCTTTGCAATGTCTACATCAAATTGCACCACTCACCGGTTCCAATGGCCTCCCTTCATCCTAGAGCAAAACCTCAACTCCTGGCCATGCCTCGAAGCTCTCCGTGACCAGTCCCAGTTGAGGAGAACTAACTAGGGGCCCCTACATTACGTGGTTCCTCTTTCTGCAATGTTCCAGAATACTCAGGACTGCTCACTCTCTCTCTCACTTCATTCCAGATTGCTCAAGTGTCACTGCCTCAGACAGCCTTCCCCAAATATCCTTTGTGAAAGGGTGAGTCCTTGCCCCATCACTCTATACCCTATTATTCTGCTTTCTCCATAGCCCTGAGTTCCAAAATCACATCACTTATTTACTTGTTTACTTTTCCACTAAAATATAAACACCATGGGAGGTGAGAGCTCGGTCTCATTTCTGTCAACAATCTTCTCTGACTTGCAAAAAGTAGAGGCTCAACTAGAAATTTGCTTAACGAACGGTAAGCACATTTTTCAAATCCCCTTCAGTTTATCTGTTCCACACACAATAACAGAACGTCCATGAATAACTCCAATACCACTAGTAAAACCCGAACACTTGAAAGGCCTCAAAAGGCTTTATCCCACCTTGGAATTCGAAGTGGACTCCAAGAAACAAAGTCGGTTGCCAAACCCTTCTGCGGCCAAACACAGTTTCTGTTGTTCTTTGTGGATGGTTGCGGTGCACTGCAGAACCACCTCGTCATCCTGCAGAGGGGGAGGAAAAGAGAAAAAGAAAATGAAGTTTGACATGACTAGACAGTCTAAATCAGACCTAGAAGACTTACTTTAGCGCCTATTAAAAATCGGAGAGAAATGTAACAACTGTCCCCACCCCCACAAAAAAAAGAAAAACCAGACAAAATCAATCCCTCGAGAATTTTCCCTTGTAAAAAAGGTAAGGTGGAAGGGGGAGAAAGAGCTGATTGTCACTCAGGCAGTCAACAGCTTCCTCACTATCATTACTGATCCCCAGAGGCAACCCACACGAGCAACGGTAAAATACAGAATCTCCACGTTAGCACGCTCGCACACGGTTTTAATCATCAAAATTACCAAGAAATTGTCTGACATCAAGTGTCATCAGGACCAGCACCAGTTCCAACAGCAGGTGCACACAGCACTCCAAAACCAGCACAGGAAGCCAGGTCAAGAACAGAACACCTGGGTTCAAATCAATCTGAAAAGTCATCTCAGCTCATCCACACACTATTCACATTTCAAAGGACCCTTGGGTGCTTAAAAATGTGCAGAGAGAGAGAGGATCTGCTAGTTCAGTCCTGTGAAATCCACACTGGTTTCCAATTAACTAAGCAGCATTACAGGGCAAGTTATGCCAGGGGAAAGATGATACATGGGACAACTCAGTGTAGGCAGCATGAGGACTGCAAGAAGCACGGACTTGAGACTCAGCGACAGCTCGAGCTGGACTGCCATCCTGGCTCTGCCATCCGCAGGTTAAAGATGCTAGCCAAAGCACTGAATCTCTAAAAGGACAAGGTAAACAAGTCACATAGAGACTGATATGCAGAAGGCGCTCAACAGACAATAAGTGGGAGATAGCATTGTCATTTTTAAACAAAATATCTCACTTTAACAAGTTCTAAGTAGCCACTGTCTAAACAGTCTAACCACTTGACACTTAAAGCAGTCAAAAAACAAATATATTCATTGACCCCTTTAATTAGAATGGGAGAGAAAAGGGACAATCAAGTATAACCTAGAAGACCCTCATCATGGAAGAACGGCAGAGTGGGGGTGAGGAGATATGATAAAAATTCAAAAGCAGAAAACAAGCCTTTTGGGTTGACCCAAAGAATATGCTGTATCAAATGGAAAAGTACAACTCCAATCTGCATTTAAAACCTTTATAATGTTAAGTATTTGTTTTCTTTCCTATACGGTGCAGCAATACCGAATAGCTGGCTTATAGCACCAGTCACAGGCAAAGTCCAATCTCTTAATAATCACCTCCCAACTCTCCCTCCAGGTGCTCATTAATTTCCAGCGAACATTCGATTGTTACATTTAAGAAGTCATCCACTAAAAAAAAAAAAAAAAAGAATTATTTCCATATAACAAGTACATCTGAATATTAATTCATGCTCAGCATGGCTATAATAAAAATAATGAAGGGTTTTTGTTGCTTATATAATCTGCAAAATCAAAGATATTTTGTTTTCCACATGTGGAGCCTAATAACAAAGAACCAAATTGTGTTGATGTGCTCATTGCCTTACCAAATCCCCCCAGTCTTTTACTATCTTGTCTCACTCACCCTCTGGAACTAACTTGAGCATGCAAACGGCACTCTTGGGTAAAATGGACTCCTCTGGATGTTGGAGATCATCTAAATTCCATTTAGTAAATAATTACTTTAATGCACTCATTAAAGACAGTTTGAGAATGAGAATTAAGAGAAAATAGAAAGGTATAGGACAGGCGAGAATAACGTGATACTCAGGAAGCCCCCAAAAGAAGAGGGGGCACATCACATTTGCCAAGAAGTATAGTGTATGTCGGTCCTGGCATTAACTGATTTATTCTTCACCACATCCTGTGATGTAAAGATCATCCACACATAGACACACGAGGACAATGAGGCTCAAGGTAACTTGTTGCTCACAGAGAGGGCTGATCATACATATGTCTAAGAACTGGTCATTCAACCTAATTTATCTGAATCTCAAAGTCCTCGGCCCCATGCTGCTTCTAGAGGCTCAACTGATTCTTTTACTACGTTTGTTATCTAGAAAAGTACTTCTCAATCTTTAATGTGCATCCAATCACCTGCTGAAGTGCAGATTCTGGTTCTGCTGGGCTTGGGTGGGGCTGATTCTACATTTTCAACCAGTGGATTTGAGGAGCTAGAATGCCCAATGGGTCCCAGAAAGGACAGAGATCCCAGGAGACAGGTGAGCAGTCTCTTACAAGAGCTTGGAGGCAATCAGTAACAGCTGAATATTAAAGCAAGTGTATACTTTGGACAGAACCAGAAATGAGAGCACACGTGGAGATGCTCATTAATATGTGGTCCATACCAACCATGTTAGGGAAGGGAACCAATATAAATAATATACTGAACTACCCTACTAAGCTTATAAAACCAACTCACTTGTGCCAAGTGTCCCTTTAATCTAGTGCCTTAACACTAGATTACTGTGTGATGGAGTGTCTGGCCACAAAGCAACATGAAGTTCAAAAGCGCTCTGCCACACCACCAAGGAGAGAAGCTAACTTCGACGTTCAATCACGATTCCACTTTGAAAGACAGAACCTAGACTGACGTACTTATAAGGCTTTTTCCAGTTTACCTGGGAGCAGTTTTTATTTTACATTCCAGTAAGCAGAGGGTTTCTTTCTAACAGAAACTAAAATATACTCACAGCATTGGATGGACCAAACACCAATTCATAAATACCTGCCAGTCCCCTTTAATTAACCTATCATTCATCTCAAAGCATCATTTTTCTCCAGAACCACTCTGGTTTGACAGCCTACTGACTATGCATTGGAAAAGTCTCAGTAAGTAGCTTTTTTCTTATAACCCATGTGCAGTAAATCTGGTTTTGCCAACATATACATGTGTGCATACGGATCTAGATACACACATACACATACATGAAATATCTTTTCTATTCTAAGAACAGAGACTAAGCACAGCTTCATACTGATGGGATCCAGAGAGTTAACACTGTTAAGGTAACAGAACAATAAGGCTATAGGTTAAAGTGCGTCTCTTGGGTCATAAGGCTTCTGAATTAGTCTCTGCCACCTGGCCTGAGGTCCAGGCTCCTAATGTCTCATTTCCAGTCTTCACATTTTAATTCCATGTGTCAGTGGTGTACCAGAGTGCCAAAATGCACACAATGGCCATCACTTTTCCAGCCTTAGTCCATAAGAACTAAAATCTTCCTCCAATATTAACCTTGCAGTATTCAGTAATGTAGAGTCCTCATGTCTTAGGTCTAGTACCCAGGGCTACAAATTCTGATTCAACTTACAAGAAATCCTATCCCATAACCAAAATGCTACAAAAGTATATTCTACCTACATTCTATTATTTCATTTTTTAAATTTCAAAGTCTGTTAGTTAAAGGCGAATGACTAGCATGAAAAGATACTAGAACTTTCCTGGAAATACCTGAACTTACACCATTGCCCATTTTATGTAAAACTGGAAAAAATAAAGTTACTAGTTTTTGTTTTTTGTCTTTTTGTTTTGTTTTACAAATTTAGAACAAAATAAAATGTAAAGAAAAAATATTCTAGGAGAAACTTCATGAACTTTGTGAAGATAAATAGCACTTCAGCGAGAGTGCTATCTGGCTTACGATCCCCAAGGTCCTATGGATTCTATGCCAAATCCAGCAATTTCAAATCCATCAATTTCTCACCACACCAGCTACCATCATCTCTTGGTTATTATCTTCAAAACCCAATGAATAGTTTTCCACACGGCAAACTCCCTCCCAATGGTGTTTCACCTCAAGGTCACCCCATCAACCTGACTGTAATGCTTCCTGGCTTAAAATCTTTTAATGGCTTCCCATTGCTCTAAGGAAAAAGACCAAAAAACTCTAGTCTACAAGGCCCCACACCGCATAGAAAAGTACCAGCCTGACATTTCCTCCAACCAACCTTCCTTCCTTCGTTCATTCATTCCTGTGCTCCTACAGGACTCTGCACATACTATTAAACCCTTTCGGGCGCCTGGGTGGCTCAGTTGGTTAAGCGACTGCCTTCGGCTCAGGTCATGATCCTGGAGTCCCGGGATCGAGTCCCGCATCGGGCTC